GCTTCACCATATGAATTTAAGGGGCCACAACTCAGCCCAGAACGGGCAGTTGGAGGTAGGATGGCCTTCTTCATTTTGTTGCTCTCCTCACCCTTCCGTAGAGGGAGAGTTGGACAGGGTTTGGAGGACGGAAGCTGGGCGTGGAGGAGGACCCTAATCTGAGCAGGGGTGTTCCACTCCCTCATTGTGGATGCTTTCTCTATTACTCATACTCTTGATTTAGGTTTTAGTGGCATCCTGTACCTTGGGGTTTTCCTTCCTGGTCTTCTCATATGCCCTTTGTTCCAACAGCCAGAGGGTTCATGGGCTGCCGTGTGCCATGACCACCGGGGTACCCAGGGCCGGAGCCCACCACCCCTCGGGGCGCAGACAGCTGTGGCCACTTTCTGCCGGGCTTGGGACCCATGAGACTCTTGGCATGCTATCAGCCTTGAAACCCACACCTCTTTGCCAGAGAGGCTGTTGGGCTTTCTGAACATTTGCAGGGCTGGCTCATTTCACTGGCTCACATTTAGTATCAGTAGCCATCCTTAAAACACAAGGGTGTGTGTGCGTTTTTGAGACTGGGAGCAAAACTGGGACACTTGCCCTTGAGAGAGAAAAGGCATTGTGTCAGTGAGAGGCACTCCAGTTCAACTCCTGCTGTAAGAAGGAGCCACAGGGATGGAGAAGCAGGTCCCTGGTGAGCATATCTGGAAGGAAGTTTTCTATAAACCTTGACACCCTCTGGGTCATTTTCCTGTCCTAATCATAAGTATTAAGCCTCTTGGCAGGAGGCCTGTTAGATGCTGAGCAAGACAAAGTCTCCTTTATTTTTAAAGTAAAACACTCTGCTCTTAAGAAACTAACAGTCTATTTGGGTAAACCCATTCTATTTACCCACATATCAATCGAAGGCAGCCAAGGATGAGCTCCCCAAATACACTAATATTGGTAAATGTTTATCATTTGTGTTGCTTCTTTCATCTCAAGGCTCATTTTGCATAAATAAAACACATTTTTAAATCCTGAGTTTTCTCCTATCTGTTCTCCAATTTCCCTGAACGTTTTTTTTTTCCCTTCCGTTTCCCTTGGATTTTGGATGCACATTCTTAAAATTGCATCTACACTGATGTTTATCCTTTTCACTTCTTTGCTGAGCTTTAGGATATATTCAAATTAAGAAATATAATTTAAAAATGTAAAACTATGAATATAGTCAGTAGCAAACACAGGCTATTGGTAGAAAGGCATATGGATCAGGCTAATTGTAAAGTGGGGGTGGGGAGAGAAAAACTCCGAGAGAGAGAAAATAAGCTTCAGCTCAGCCCAAATATTAGTTTCAAGCCAAAGAAGTTGGCCTGGCTCCAATTCTATCCTTGGTTGGACACAATACATGATTGCTGTATTTTCAGAAAAAGAAAAAAAAAAAATCCATCCATAGGGTGAGAATCTAAGCAATCAGAAATCATTCTTTGCATTTATTTTTCAACTTTGTATTTGCCTGTGAACAAAATTGAAGCTGGTAAAGGATGGTTCATGTGAATTACTTGAACAACAGTTTCTCATTGTGTTGAATTACATTGAGGCTGCTTGCTGTGAAATCTTGCCACAGCCCAGTAACAGTGAAAGATATTGTCACTTTTTTTTCCCCCTGGCCATGAAGTTAACCCACTTCTCTCCCACATAAACGAATTGATGGTCCTTTCCAAAGTGGGGGAGAAAAGCTCTCCAAATCCTAATCACCAAGCATTTATGTACAGCTTACTAACATTTTCAGAATCAAAAGCCAGTCTATCTTCCCACGTCACCCAATCTTCATGCTTCCCCACATCACATTTCCAGATTACATGGCTTCTCTATGTTTGGAATACCTCTAGTCACCAACAAAGAGAGGAGTCATGCATCGCCAGCCCCAGCTAGCAATATTTTCAGCTAATTTAGGAAAGTCCAATTTAGAACCTAGCCCAGGAAAGGAGTAGAGAGGCAACAATAATCACAAGGGTCCTCTGGGCCTTTGTAATGCCTACCTTTCCTAAATTCACCATCCACCGCTAGGGGGACAGATGACAGAAAAGGGTCCAGGCTGTAAGTGGTGGCTGCAGCATTTCTCCAAGGCAACATTTAAGGTTGCCCAGTTGAGGCATGGGATGGGCTCTGAGCTCTGTTTGCCTTGTTCGCCACGTGATGGTCAATGGTTCATTTCAGAGGCTAGTTGGATGGGAAACCACAGATCATGGCGGGGCTAAATCCCCTCTTGATCTCCCTCCTCCTCCTGGGCATTCCTCCCAACTTGGGGTGGAAAACGCTGCTTTTACTCATGAGTGAAATGGGACTAATAAGAACAGCTCTCCCTGTTGGGAGATTTGAATGATACACAGGGCATTAACATACTTCATCTGCAGTCGTGTGCTATGCAGATATGAGGGTGGTCCCTGTCCTCCGCCGCTTTCTCTGCATAGGAGAGAAGCCAAGCAGAAGAACCTGCTGCTCATAAACCCACCTCATCAACCCCGAAGCCCGGATCTATAGGTAAACAAAGGACAAGCAAGGAGGGAAGGAAATTGAACGTGTTAAATTCTTCTTTCTGATGGTTGTAAGGCTGACACCTGATTTCCTTCAGGCTGACTTGGATTACTCTTTCAGGCTTCAGGCACAGGATTATTTTCATGGCTGCTTACTGTTAATTATATGAAGAAGCTACAACCCTAATCCAGAATTCTGTGGATTAGCAGCAGAAGTGTTTGATGTCTCCAAAGACAGTTAAGTTTTTATCTAAAATAAATGCCCCAAACTGAAAAAAGCCTGTGTCCTTCTTGGACTATACACAGGGCAATGTGGTATAGAGCAAAGAGAGTTGGACTTCGATTCAAGTCCTGTCCCTTTTGATCTGTGTGACACTGGGCTAATCACTATGTATCTCTGAGTCTCCATTTAGAAAGTAGAAACCCATGAGTTCCACTGTCCCCAAGAGACAGGGAGTCATTAAGAACCTGGACTGGTTTCAGAGGCTGGCCCTGCCACTGACTGGATATGTGACATCGGTAAGGTTAGTTAACCTTCCTGGGCCTCTGTTTTCTTATCTGTAAAATGGGCTAATAATCGTATCTAGTTTAGACGATGGTTGTGAGGTGTAAATGGTAAATGCAGGTAAAGCACTTAGAATGGGACCTGGCCAGAGGAAGCATGGGAGAAACATTAGCTCTTGTGATTACAAAGTATGTAAACAACACTTAAGGACTATAACGCACTCAGCATGCTATTTCAACAGCTTCAGGGACAAGTAAACATCTCAGCTTTGCAGGCCCAAGTCACAGAGGCAGGAAGGGAGCTAGCTCATCAAGGGTCTTCTCAGGAAGAAGAATGGAGGTGCTCCCCTGAAGCCAGAGTGTTGGAGAGGGCCCAGAAGCAGGCGAGAGGCCCGACTCAGTAGAAATTGTCAGCTGTGAGGGGAGGGTGCAGGGAGTGGGGGAGGAGCTGCAAGAAGGTGACAGAGTCTCGGGGAATGGTGCAGTCCCTGGTGACAGGAATCTGGGAAAATGGTAAAAGGCCTGTGTTGGGGGGAGCCAATTGGATAGCAGACAGCCAAGACAAGAAGAGGGGAAGCATGTGAAAGGGACACCAAGTCTAGGTGAGATCATGTCTGGAACCACAGGATGAAGCAGTTTATATTTAAATGGTATGGCAAGACGACACCCCCACATAACACCATCCATTCTCATTCAAGTTCTTTGGGAGGAAGTAAACATTACGAAGTGTTAATTGCTATTCAGTTTCAAATTTAAGCCTGCATTTGTACACGGGAGCCTAGGAGAATGGCACATTTTCTCTGACATTATTAAGTAAAGTCTTTATAAATAATTGGTTGAGCCCCCCAGTGGCCCCGGCAGAAGCTGCTGAGTGCTTCCTGGTACTGATCCAGTCCTTCCCAGTTTTTCTGAGCTTCCAATAGGAAGCAGATCCTACTGGTGGTGACTTGTGGCCCAAACTCCCGGTGATGGTTATAAAGAGCGGCTGCCACGGGGCGCGAGCTTTCAGGCCAAGGCCAGGGGAGAGGCCCGGGCCACAAAATGAGGGGAGGGCTGGGGACCAAGGCAGGCCTGTGGCTAACCGCTTCCCGCTGGCTTTAGCCTTGGCTGCATCATTCCTGAGGACAGGCTCCAGGCAGATGGGAGGGCGGGACAAGGCCCTCTGCTGGGGTCGCTGCGACCCTGCAGCTACCTAGACCGTGTGGCTGGGGGGCGACCGACAGCCTGTGCGGTTCCTGACGGGATAATCGAACTTCCCCCTTGGGGTGCTTCAGTTGCTTTCTTTCCTCGCGGTCGGGAGCCGTTTACGCACGCCCAGGGGCCCGGGGGAGCAGGAGCAGGGGCCGGCGGGCTTCGGAAGCCTCAAGCAGCTCTGACCTCTGGCACCTCCCCAAGCCCCGGGGCGCAACATCTGTCCCCAGAAATAGCCGGGCGGAGGAGACGAGAGCGCGCCCACCCCTTCCTGGATACTCGGTCTTCTCTCTCTTCCTAGAAACCGGCCCTCCCCTCCTCGCGTCTAGCGCCCCGAATCCGCAGCAGTCGGTCCCCGCCCAGCCGGGGCGCCCCCGCACCCCACCTCCGCGCCCCCAGTTGCTCGCGAGCACCGCCCAGCGCCGGCGGCGGCGGCGCCCCGCGCCCCGCAGCGCCATCTAGGGGCCGGGCACCGCCTTCCTCCCTCCGGGGCACCCCCCGCAGCCCCCCGCGCGCGCCCCGAGCGGCTCCCCCTCCGGCCTCCCCGAGGGCGCACCGGCGGCGAGAGGCGGCCGGGCCTCGGGGCAGACGCGGGGGAGGCGAGCGCCGGCCCGGCCCGGCGAGGGGAAGCTGGCGATGGCAGCGGCGGGCGTCCGCGGGCGGCGAGGCGGCGGCGGGCGGCGCGAGGAGCCCCTGTGATTGGCACAGCCCGAGCCGGAGGAGGAGGCGCGGGGAGGGCGGCGGAGGAGGAGGCGGAGGAAGGGGGCGAGCGCGCGCGGCGGCGGCGGCGGCGGCGGCGGCGGCGGCGGCGGCGGCGGCGGCGAGGAGCTGTGCCTCCACCTCTCCAGCCCCGGCAGGACGGGGGCGGCCGCCGCGGGCCCGGGGCGGGGACAGCACGCAGCCTCGCAGCGCACACCCCCGCCCGGCAGCGGCCCCGACACCCGGGGCGAGCGGGAAAGCGGCGGCGGCGGCGGCGGCGGCGGGGGAAGGATGCAGGGGAAGAAGCCGGGCGGCTCGTCGGGCGGCGGCCGGAGCGGCGAGCTGCCGGGGGACGAGGGGCAGAGGAACAAGAAGAAGAAAAAGAAGGTGTCCTGCTTCTCTAACATCAAGATCTTCCTGGTGTCCGAGTGCGCCCTGATGCTGGCGCAGGGCACGGTGGGCGCCTACCTGGTGAGTCCCCGTGCCAACTCCGCCGCGGGGGCCCCCTCCCCAGACCGGCGCTCCGGCGACCGGCAGGCTCGAGGAGGGGGCCGCCCGGGCCCGGGGGCAGGCGGGCATGACCTCGGCCGGGCGCGGAGGTTGGCGAGTGGTGCAGAGGCGGCCGCCGGGGGAGCTGCCGGCCCGGGCCGCCGAGCGAGCGGGGAGCGGGCGGGACGGCGGATGCCGGCAGCTGCTCGCGCGCCCGGCGGGGGCCGGGGGTGCCCGGGGAGGAGAGGCGGCGGGCGGGTGGGCGTGAAGCCGTTCCCCTCTCCGCCGGGAAAGCGCAGCCGGAGGGTGACTTCAGGAGCCCCCTCGGGGAGGCAGGCAGCGCGGTTTTCAGGTGACCTGCACATGGGAAGAAAAGCCGGTTAGCATCCTGCGTCCTCTACTCTCCATTCCAGCCGCCTGGAGAACAAATCCATTATGCATCATTTTCTCCGGGCGCTTTCTCCATGCGCCAATTACGGGGGGATTTAACAGCTTAGAGTAAAATGCGCCCGAGTGTGGCCCTGATCCGCGCCACGGCTGCAGGGGGAATATTCCCTCTCCCTATCCCAGTAGCCATCTTTCGGCTTCTGGGATAAAGTTACTCGGTACCTGGAGAGCAGCTGCGAGTTTGTATAGTTCTGCTACCCATGCTTAGACCTCGATTCCCCACCGTGGTCTCTCGCCCACAAGGGGGTTGCAGCATTTTGCACTATGTACATCTCTTTCATTTGACTTCCGAAGGGGGTATTAGTGCTCAAACGGCCCAGGGGTGCATAACGTATCAGAGGAAACAGCTTGTAATGACTCAGCACTGTCAAATACCTACTTTGTCGCTTGGTCCTGCCCCGCGCAGGTGGTCCCAGCTTGAGTTAGAGAGGTGCACTTCTAGACCCAAGTACAGCCCTGCCTACGCAGGAGAAGTTTTTTTTTTTTTTTTCAGAGTGTATAGTGTTAAATCATTACTTGGTGATTGACCTGCAACTGGAATCAAATGTCAAAGACTTTGAGCGTTAGTGAACAAGTTTGACGGAGATAGAATTGGACAAGATTTTGGCTGTTGGATAACCGCATCCACAGATAGAATTGTGCTCTACTTGATGTACCAGTAAATCCCTCCTTCCTGGCCTTGGGGTACAGTTAATGAGGGCCAGACTGCTGGGACAGGGCACCATTCATAAATGGTCTCCAAAGACTCGGGGGCTTGCTGCCAGAGGGAACTACGGGCAGGTTTGGTCTCCAGTGGGGGGTAAAGTCAATTTTGGGGTTATGACAGAGGGTTGTTCAAGCTCATCTCTCTCTTCCTGGGGTGACAGACTTACTGGGCTTCTGAAAATCAAATGCATTTCCTTTGCTCCTTGTGAGATGAAAGTGTTTTAAATCCCTGTCTCTGTGTATCCCTGACTTTTATGCTGCAGGTGAACCCTGTAGCCAAAAGCACATTTTCTTTTCTGTGTGGATTTCTGTTCTATAAAATGCACTTTTCTCTGTAGTTACAGTACAGACAGTACCTGTGGCCCGTGGAGTTTTGAGGTAGGAATCACTGTTTCTTAGTGGGGGGGGGGGGGGTCCGTTTATCACACCTTTTATGGAGGGTATTTGACTGTTAAGATCTTAAAATAGGTACATGTATTACCAAGGTGCAAATGTATATTAACAAAATATTTGGGGGCCTGTACTGGGAGCATATGCAAAGTATGTACTACCTAAGCGGGTCTGTGTTTCAGGAGGGAGGTAGTATATCAACGCTGCCTTCAGTTTAACAGTTTGTTAGTCTGAGACCCGTTTTGTTCAGTAGAGTGCATCAGTCACGTGTGGCGAACAGCCCAGAACTTTTCACACCATGAATTATAAAGGCACAGGCTTAGTTTTAGCTTGCAACGATCTAAGGCTCTTAGAAAGGAATGAGGCTGGGCTTCAACCAGATGAGTAGCCTAAGCTCCTTTAGAAAGTTAAGAAGCAGAGGCTGATGGCCAGGTGGATATATAGAGGCAGGGCTGGCACCAGGAGATAGAACATTGACTTGGATCCCAGAATAGGCGAGTGGCAGGCAGAGGAGGAAGTCAGTCCACATTTGGGGGCGAGGGAGGGCTGGCAATTTCAGCCTGGGCCAATAGAAAGGCTAGTTCAGAGGGGTAGGGTAATAGGAGTCAACAGGTGACCAGCAGAAAGGAGATGGAGGCCCAGGAGAGGACAGGCCTAGGAAGTGGAATTCATTTTGATCACTAGGAGTGGAGGCACAAGGTTCTCAGGGCTCGGCCTTGCCCGGCCGCTGTGGACTCCATTGCCATCCGAACCTCGTGAAAATAAATAGTTGGCTTGCCAGGCTTGACCGGATCCTCTTGCTGTGGGTTTTGCTCTTCTGGGCCCCTGGGGGGTTTTCTGTTCCTCTGTTATTTTGGAGGTGGAATGAAAAGTCTGTTATTCCTTCAGCTGTGTGAGACTGCTTTATGGTTAACTTGGGAACCAAGCATTGTAGGATGTTTGCAGGAGAAGCAGATTTCTCCCTGTTAATTCATCATGGCTTTCTTAAGGAACCCGAGAGCTTGCTTTTGTAGGTGATCACACACACAGGGTTGGTGTGCAAGGTGTGTGTTATATATGATCTTTGCGTTGGCAATCAGCCTGTCCCTCTGATGAAGCATTTTCAGATACCTGAGGAAGGGCACACCTTGGGACGCTGCCAACAATGCTTGCTTTGGTCGGGGGCGGGTGGTGATCGAAAGTTCTGTGCCCAGTGACGTTATTTCCTATTTGATCCCCCAGTAGTCCACCTTCTTATTTTGTCTTCCCAGATGCCTTTTTTTTTTTTTTTTTTGACATTCGGAGGCTTCATTTCATTTCTCCGTTTACTTTCTGAGATTGCCCAGTGTCTTCAGTGACACCGGTGTGGGCTTCTCAACGGCGGAGCTGAAGGAGGAAGTTGCCTGTGATTTGAGAAGCAACTTTGAAAAGCAGGCAGGACTGTGTGTGTGTGTGTGTGTGCGCGCGTGCGCGCCTTCCCTCAAGAACCTGCCTAGGGAGGAAACTCAAGGGAGACTTGTATATGAGACAAACACTAATTGTTAAGCTAGGCAGGGGACCAGCAGCTTTTTGCCTGGGTGTGGGGGGTCTCCCAGGGGAATGCAGAAGGCTTTTGAACCCCGATACCCAGGCTCTGTGATCCTAGAGATAAGGTAATGTGCCACCCCAGGCCCGCTGTGGATTCTGAAATCTGTTACACTTGCAAGTGCTTGAACTGGAAATCATGCTCCAGATCAGCCAACAGTCCCAGGAATGTTCTCTCCTAGTCACTGAAACGGCCTGACTGGCCACAGGATATTTTTTGGAGCAGAAGAAGAGAGACCCATCCAGTTGGGTCAAGAGTGCAATTTTCCTTGACTTGGGTCTTTGCTTCTGGTCGTTCCAGTCTGAACTGACCTACTTGCAAGGATGTGACATCTGCTAACATCTCAGGCCCTTTGGAGAAGGCGTAGGCATGTGGGAACTGCTCGGAGAGAAAGTCAGTGTGTGTGCGCGTCCTGGTGATGCATGGAGACCCACTCAGGTGTTTCCAGCCATTCGTGGAGGGTAGCCCTGCGTATAGAGGTTCGCATACATTCTCAAATTTCTGGGGACTGGAATAGATAAGGCTGCGTGAAGGAAATGAAAGCCCCTGACACCCCTGGGCAGTTGTGATCGAGGCTCCCTTACAAAGGCATTTGAATTTCTTCAGGATGAAAACTTAAGGCGGTGGCTGGAGGAGTCTCCAGCCAGGGTGGGGTGCTCAGGCGGGGCCTCTGACCCAGGGGTGGGCATTTGCCTGTTGAGAGTTTTGCATACACTGAGTCTGAGGTTGTGCTGATGACATAATGAGCTGGATGAATGAGTGCATGTCACAAAGCTGATTGATGGTCCCTTTTTAAAAATTTTGGGCCCCGAGAGCATTGCATGGCTTGAGTTACTGGTAAGGTGAAACTGCAGGATTTGTTAGTCTTTCTTCTTCTTCTCCTTCTCCTCCTCCCCCTCCCCCTCCTTCTCCTCCTCCTTTTTTTTTTTTTTTTTTAAAATCCCAAAAGAAGCATCATTTTGAAGATGGGTATTTGCCTCTTTTCCCCAGAAGCAGACAGCTGAGAGACATTTTTAAAGTCCTTGTCAAATTAGTATGATGACTAAGGCAACTGTGTTTTACTTAATCAAATTATTTTACACACTTACGGTTGCTCAAAGTGACAAATTCCCTGCCATTTGCATAATTACTGGATAGCCCCAGGTAGTAAGAAATAAAATTACCCTGATTTTTTTTTCCTTGCTGTTTGGTTGCAAATGTTTAGCTAATAATTATTTAGGGGAAAAAATGATCTCTGAAAATTCCTTTCAACCAGCTTTGTGTACACAGCTTAGTTTCTGTAGGGGTTTTCTCTTGTGTGTTTAACAGTCCAAGAAAGTGAATCAGTTGTGAAGTGAGCTCCATCTCTTTTCCTGAATTTTGTAACTCTCCCACATTTCCATTTTAGATTCCTTACAAAGAGGATGACCCAGAGGCCTCTCCGCAGAGGCACTGCCTTGCTAATCAGATGCCCAGCATTTAAACTCATCTCCTTGCCTGCTGCTGGAATGGTATAGCTCTGTGTTAAACTGGATAAATTTCCACTGGTGCAAAGGCAGTTCGAGCAAGAAGGTCTCAGAATTTCTCTTGCTCATCCTAAAGCAAGCTTCGAAGTACTGCCTTGTTTAGGGGAGGGGCTCACTTAGCAGAGTAAGAGTAAGTATAAGGTAGAGCAGAAGCAATTAGGATACAGCCACATTGGATGAAGATGAAGGCCTTGAATAAAGAAAAAAAAAATCTGTGAATGTTATTGGTTAATTGCCGACACTGGTGTTCCTTTCAAGGTCGGGGCCAGGCCTCCTGTAGAAGCTGGGGAATAGCAAGGACTCCTGCTAAACTGACCCACCCACCGTTCCTTGGATTAAAGGGCTCCTTGAGGTGCCAGGCAAGGGGGGGTGGGGCCTGCCAGGTAACTGGGCAAGCAGGTGTGCAGAAGATGCTCCCCCCTTGCTGGCTTGGAGAATAAAATTCTACCAGCAGTATTTCTACTTCCAACTTGCGGAATACATTTTAACTTGCACAGATTTAACTGCAACACATTATTTAATAAATAACCACATTCCTCTGAAGTAGAGTTGAAGTACTTACCACTTCTACTCACTCATATTTTGTACGCGTACTTTATCACACTATGTGTATTAATGTGTGCGTTATATGTTTACATATATATGTGTTCTTGGACAGGGTTACATACGCCAAATACTGTATGCTTTCCTTTTGGGAAGATGTTAAGGGACATTTCAGTGGTAATTCTGATTGTGTGGCTTAAACACAGATTTAGAACGCCCCCAAAGACAAGTTACCTATGTTCTGTTCCCCCTCAGAAAAGTTTTTGGCAATCCCTAGGCCAGAAAGATAGCATCCTAGTCCTTGTAACTTAGTTTTGCTTTCTGTTTCTATATGTGCATCTACAAAATAGGTAATAAACAGGAAAAAAAGAATGGCATCACTGACTTTGGTTCACAGGAGAAGTGAATTGGTATATGGTTTGAGAAACTTGTATTCTATGTAACCTAAGCGTTCGTGTGTTTGTGTAACAGGCAGTATTGCTGACTGGTTAAAACTCCAGATGACATGGTGAAAACTCCCAGACGGAGACCGACAGCACCTGTGACAGTTGTGACTCAATGGGGTGAGCTTTAGAAGACCTGGGGTTCACTCCCACGTTCTCCCCTTCTCAGCTCTGTGTTCTCAGGCTGATTACTCAACCTCTCTGTGCATTGGTTTTTCATTTTAAAACTGGGATCATAATAGTACCTAGCCTCATAATGATTCTGTGAGGACTCACGGAGTTGGTACTTATAAAGCACTTTGAATGCTAGCTGGCACATAGGGCTCGACATAGACAAGCTATTAATAATGACATGGTTATATATATTGACTGCAGACACTCAGTTTGTAGCCCCAACAAATGAGAAATAAAATTATTTCAATCAAGTGTTGATTTGGGTGTAGTGAATTGTACATCAAGTAGTTCCCTATTCTGCATGAACGTTTTGTCTGGGAGGTAAAAGGTTTTTGGTAGTAAATACCGGTACCAGTTGCTAATTCTGTTTATTCCCTTATTATAAATATAGCAATCCGTTTTATCTTAAAGACACTATAAAAGTTACCAGTCATGTGGGGGAGGAGCCTACTCTAGTAATGCTTATGCTGAGCATTTATAGTCAGTGGGTACTTTGAGGTGGGTGGAGCAGGGATGGTGCTCGCGCGGCTGGGAGGGACAGGTGCCCTGATGCCTCGCTTTGGGAGGCCCTATTATCTGTCGCTCTGGTCTGTGGCCACAGGATGGGGAATACTTGACAGTCTTCTACATTGTACGCAGCCGAGGAGCAGTGAAAAGAGTTTTGGATTTGGAGTCAGAAGACCTGCATTTGAACCTGGACCTTCTACTTCCCAGCTCCTGGTGACTTGACTTAACCTGAACCCCAGTATCCTCATCTGAAAAACGGGGCCTGTCTTACCAATGGTTGGGAGATTTAAATAAATGGACGCGTGATACAGTGTTTCTCATAGGGTATAGGATTCGGTACTTGCTTTAACACTAACGACATAACCCTACTTGTTGACCTTGGCACAACAGAAGTCCTTCCAGGGGCCTGAGGATTTGCTTCCTAAATTGGAGATCTGGGCCCTTGTAGCTTTCTCTGCGACTCTGGGTGAAGGGTGGCCACTTCAAGGCAGCCTGGGGTGTCAGGAGGGGGTATCAGGGGACATCTGTTAATGCACATTTGCTGCCCTCTGGGCAGCCTTGTTTAAGATGAGCAACCTTGGGGCTCAGTCCTGGTTGCCTGGGGGGCTCAGGGCTCATGCCACACCCACCTCCTCCTCAGCAGGCACAATTGTGGGCATTTTCCTCCTCTTGATCCTTTTTTGTTTTTCAGAAGCCGAGTGAATGAGCTCTTGATAAGAGTGTCGTTTCTCATCCCCTGGATTCATTCCCCTTAGCTCATGATGATCGTTTAGGGGGGACACCTTTGCACGATGCCGCTCACCTTTCCTCCCCAGGTCTGGTCACCTCTGTCCTTGGGAAGGATAAGGAATGAACCACGCTCTTCTCAGTGAATCAAGTTGGCAGTGGCTATTTTAGGTGAGTTCATAGACTCACGTTCCAAGTGCCACAGGCTTCACAAGAGAGCACACACTCTCTTGAGGACCACTGCATCCCCAAACCCCGGTGGCTCGGTGTCGACTTCACCGAGGAAGAAGCCCTCTCTGCTTCCGAAGGCCCTGGACCTTCTGCAGCCACGGCTGGGGAGTAAGCAAGCTTGGGGGGGCCTTCATCGTGGGCAATCCAGGGACCGTATACAGAGCGGAAACCTTCCACGGGGTGCAGGCAGAGTCTCTGCAGTTGGCTACTTCCAGCTTCTTTGTTTCTGTTCTTCTGTGTGGCTTTGAGTTGCGGCTTTCTGAAAAGAGAAGCCCTTCCTAACAGAGGGTTTAGTAGCTCAGTTTTTTAATGGGAATGATGGTCACCAAGCCGGCTCTTTTCCTGAAATAACCAGACATTCCCCTTTGAATAGGATATGGTTACTTCACTAAGACATAATAGTTGATCATTAAAATGGGGGGGGGTACTTAGTACAAAAGTCCCATTTATGACTTCCACTTAACACTTACTGAAAATATTTAAAAGCCAAAGGCAGCACAGGTTGCTACAAGCCCTAATTTTTGAATGGGGCTGGTGGGGGTGGGGCAGATAGTGTGGGGCCCACTATCTTCATAAATAACCTGCCAGTACCTCTCCAGTGCTCTGTTCTCCTGGGAGGTCATATCCCCAGTGGCATTTCAAGATACCTGGTAACAGAATGGAAGAGTATTGAGTGTAACAGGGATGTCTTCTTTCCTTAGCGTTGGGTTTTGTTGAAATCCTTGCCATGGGCACACTGTGAATCCTGGAAACAAGCAGGTGTCCCCAGGATGTGGCAGCAGGTGTGAGTTACTGTGCAGGAGAACGAGTCCATTCTTCGTGCATCTATCTGTCCATCCGTCCACACTCCCTACGTGAGTTCTGTACAACGTGCTGGCAGATTCTAATTTGTCTGGCAGGTTGCCCTTTGGGACGGGTCTCCGGATAACGAACCTGGCTGTCCAGGTGACCCCGGGCACTTTTTGTTGGTAGGTCTAAAGCCCTTTGTGGCTCTCAGTTCATAGCTACCTGAGCTCCTGATTGTGCAGAGTTAGCAGAAATAGGAAGGAGCCGAGAGCAGGCTTTCAACAAATAGTCCTGGGGAATATAATAGACTATTAGGCAAACTCCTCCCTCAATCCCTGCCCACACAACTACAGGAACTTAAGCAAGAGAGAAATGATTATTTTTACCTCCATTTCTCCACTGGCAAGGTCGATGTAGGGAGAACAGTGTCACAATGGTGCTTTTCAATTAAAGACTATTGTACAATGTTCTTGGGAATGGCTATTGTCTTCCCCTTCTCCCCCCTTTGGAAAAGGCTTATGTAAAACAGGCACGCTCCTCTAATTGTTGGATTTGCTCCCCCATCCTGACACTGCTGCTTTCCCATCTTGGGCTGATTAGAATGAGAAATTACCACCTTGAATATAAGCAAGTTGAAATTGGAAAGCTGCCCTCTGACTGATTACATAAGCTTTCAACTACTGTACCTGAAATCTCATGTTTACCTTGCTGAGAATTCTCTTAATGAAGATACACATTTCTAAGCAGCACGGACGCATATGTTTTTATTATGTAAGCTTCAATTATTGTGATGCAACCTGTGGGAAAAAAAGAATGGCGTTGATGAGCTCAACTCTCCGTTGGCTTTTTGGGTCAGAGAATGATTGGAAGTAGACCCACAGAGCCCCCTAGAGACTCCCCCCTCCCCGGAACTTTGGACCACCTGATGCTTCAGCACCAGCACCTTCTCCCCGGGGATGTACAGGTACACCCTGGGTCTGTGGTCCCCGCCACTCTCAAGGTCGCAGAGGGCAGGTGTCCGTGAAGGCTTGAGAGTGCTCATGCGATTCAGCGGCATGTCCGTGGAATACAGCCACAGTCGGTTGCGATGGGCTTCGCGGTTTGGCCTTTTTGTTTCCGAAAGTGCTGCTGGGATGGCCTTTGGGATGGACTCTGTCTTGTTTTGTGTAACGTGCTGGTGTCTCCTTGTGGCTCATCGCACTATCTTCTCCTCAACGCCATAACTTCCGTGAGGTGCACAAAGTGGCACGCTACGTGGTCCATTCCAGATTTCCAGCCTCCTGAACTGTAGACAGCAGCTTGTTTTGTGGCTGGGGTGGGGCGCTGGGAGAAAAGACTGAAAGTAAACTAGACCAGTTGAAACAGATCTAGGAGAGTGGCAGATAGGCCTCCACTGTCATTATGCAAAACATTGAGGGCCAGACGCACAATTTATTGTATGATTTATTGCCGGGCACTGGGTGCTGCCTCCTCCCCAGTGTGGTAAATACTGTGTCGGCTGGGAGGCTTAACGTGCCAACAGCAGTTTTCCCGTCAGCCGAAGGGAGGATATCTTTTGGAGACAAAAACCATAAATTAGCACCTTCGCTTTACCTTGGCCAACCCGTGGAGGTGCATATAAATCGAAAAGTCTGCAAGCAGTTTTGCAGCTTTGCCGTTGGCGGTGAAGGGGAGCCGGTGGGGAGGTCCTCCTTGCTGCATGCAGCTCAGAGTGGTGTGGGGATCCAGCAGCCCCGTGAGCCTTCTGAGATGCATAGGTGGAACGGATTGTCCAATCAACATACCGTCCCTCTGTCCCAACGTTGGCATGGCTTGTATTCTTAGGTGTCTTTAAAAATAACATCGCCCAAACTCTGCCCCTGTTGCTTTCATCTTAGGCAAAATCAGGGCACAGGAGTAAGTAATTTCCCCAAATGTGCAGTCCCACTCTCCAGAGTTAGCCCACAGTAGCCAGCAGGGGTGAGCAGGTGAGCAGTCCAGAAGAGTTTTATTTTTGGAGATAATGATTATAAACACATATAAATAAAAATAATGTTTTGGTGACTGCAGGGGAAAAATCATTTATTTCTGTCTTTTAAAATATTCCTCCTCTTTTTTTTTTCTTTTTTAAACAGACTCTGTTTCCTAAAAGGCATCATACCTATTCTTAATCGGGTGAACAGATAAAAATACATACGTCTGTATTTCTCTGTCTTCTGATACTTCCAGTTTCACTGGGAAACGCTTTTGTCACTTAAGTACCAAAGCAGCCATTAAAAACACGGCGAGGGCTCCTGGTAGCCAAGGCTGTCAGGGAGACCATTCGGTGTGACAAGGGACACATTTTAGATCCTCCAAAAGGAAGCCGAGTGTTCTTGTGTTCAGGTCTGTCGCCTCTGTGACTGCTTTTCTCTTTGGGCCAACGGAGCTGAGCTCTCTGGTGGTCACGGTGGTCAGCTCAGCTCTTTCGCCTCCTGGTTGGTCATTGATTTTCTTCTTGCCTCCCTAGGCTGGCCCCTGACTCCACCGGGGCCATGCTTCGCCAACCCTGGCAGGGTATCATGGTCAGAGCTGCGAGACCTCTGTCAGGGTGTGCTCCCCGAAGTCAAAACCCGGGTCATTCCCAAGTAGGACTCTTGTGCCGAGTTTATGCCATGGACACTGTCTATACCCTTCTATGAGTGCCTTCCTTTGTTGGCTTCCCTCCATCCTCATTCAGGGGGTGATGCAGCTGAGCTCTCCGCCCCCTACAGGCTAGAGAGATCCAGTCCCACCTGTGACCATGGGCTGTATGTTAATTCCTGCCCTCCTGGACCCTGTTGTATTTTATTTGGGAGTGGGGTCTTCACATCCTATTTAAACATTTTCCTTCTTTGGAATTCAGAGGGCTGTAGGGGCATTGTCAAACATTTTCTGTATCTCAGATGTGAGACCAAAATTGGGTTATTTTTTCTCCCTTAGATATAGAAAGGTGTGACGTGAGGTTCAGAGACAGTGACTTGGACTGTTTATCCTTTGGTTGGAGGTGGACTTGGACCCAGGGGTGGGAAGGTGGATGATAGGAATGTGTTTCCAAAGGAAGAAATGGGATGTGTTGGTTTCCTGGGGCTCTGATGAGATGGATGACCACAGACTGGGTGGCTTAGAACAATAGATTTATCTTCTGGCAGTCCTGCTGGCCAGGAGTCTGAAATCAGGGTGTTAGCAGAGCTATGCTTCTTCTGAGACTCTGGGTAGAATCCTTTCTTGCTTTTTTGTAGCTTCTGATGGTGGCCTTTCATCTTTGATGTTCTTAGGTAGACTTTGCACCGCTCCCATATGTGACTCTGAGATCACAGGGCATTTTCCTTCTGTGTCTCTCTCCTCCTGTTAGAAGGACATCATTCATATTGGGTTAGGGCCTACCCTAATGACCTTATCTTACCTTAACTATATCTGCTAAGACCTTGTTGCAAATAGGGTCACGTTCACAGATACCAGGAATTAGGACTTCAACACCATCCTTTTGGGGGGACACAATTCAACCCATAATACCAGGGGAGAAAAAGAGCAAAGGCCCCTAAAACGGTCTGATGGTACAAAGAGGGAAAAAAAAAAGGAAAAGACAGATTCTTTGCCCTCGTTAGGGTTTGGGGTTGGGTAGGAAGATTATGGGATGTTGTTGGTCGGCTTGTCATTCTTTGCAGAAATTCTGCCCTGTGACAATCCTTGCTTCCTTTCTCAACAAGTAAGGTGATAACTATGTTTCCATCTGAGACGTGGTGGTTAGGCTGTGGGAGTGAGCCTGATTGCATTAATGAATAGCTTTGAACAAACCCTTTCCCAGTTCTGGGCATAGCTGAGTGCAGGGATTGGCCTGGATGAGTACGGGATCTGATTAAGGGAAATCCATGTAAAAAAAACAAAAACAAAAACAAAAACCCTAGAAATACACGTGGGTGAGCATTATGTGTGTATATATTTAGAGTGTGTGTAGTATATCTCTCCCGCTCCTTCTACCCGGGACTCCTTAATAGGAACCAGGCCCAGTAAAATGTCCAGCTGGCCCTGTCCCCTCCCTGAAGTCCTGTCCGATTCGGTGAGACTGGAAGAGAATGTTATCACTGTGCCAGCCAGCCCCAGATTTGGCCAGGTACGTATTACTTTAGGACCAGACACCTGCATTCTAATCTGATTCATTTCATCTCCATGTTCTTTTTGATGGGGAGTTGCTCAGCATTGGCTCCTTTTAAAAGACTTCAGCTTGGTCTCTGCCAAACTAATTAACTTGGACAACTTCTTTAAGTGCCGTGAGCAACATCGACTTCGGTAAGGCGTGTTCTTGGCCCTCACGGAGTTTATATATCCTAGCGGGAGGGATGGCATGTTTATATTTTTCACTAATGACTCATTCATTAGACTGTCTCAGGTGCTGGGCCAGGCAGCAGCTCTGTCCTCGGGGAACCCTGCAGCTGGTCCAGCCGTATCCACTGTCCACGGGACCATGAGGTCTCCACCGTAGAAGCCAAGTGTTGGGTCAAGGTGGGAGGCGGTGTTGGAGATGGGCCTGGGGAGAAGAGGAGAATGTTTAGGGTTGCAGATGTAAAATAATTTTCCCAACCTTGGACAGAATAGACCCAAGGGGAATGAGATGTCAGGCTAACGGGGCAAGTGTCTGGCTGGGAGAGCCTTCGTAGGTGGGATGGGAATGGGAAGCCTACGACGGATAAGGGGCAGGCTGGGAACACAGGGCCACAGCCACATACAGGGGCATGTCAGGGCCAGCACTGGAAGGTGCGCTCTAGCCAGCAGTGCGGGGGCTGACGGCACCTCTCCTGGCAAGGCTTACATCCCTCCCCCCCAGCTTTGAAGCGGTCCCCTAAAATCCTGCTAGAGACCACTCTGCCAGCATGTGGAAGGAAGCAGCATTAGGGCATCCTCAGACTTAGCTATAAGTGAGTATGGCTGCATTGCATGACATAGACAAGGGGCTGAAGGACGCTGGTTTTCCCAGAATGCTGTGCTCACCGGGATGGGGGCAGTGGAGGTGGAGGGGGGCTGTAGCATCCATACACAATGGCACCTCTGTGTTCAACCTCTTTTTTGAGTTCTCTTCAAATGAGATTTCTGCAAGATGAGCTAAAATTAGGAAAGGTCCTATCGTGTTTGACTTTTTTTTTTTTTAAACCCTTTAGCTTGGCCTCAGATGTATCAGTTCTGGATAACTTTAAAGCTGGTATCAGGACAAACTGTGTTCACACACAGGAAATGTCTCCAAACAGAAAGTGGGCGTGCAGTTTACAGTTTGAAAATTGGATGGAGGCCATTCAAAATTCCCCTCCTGTTCTCCTTGAGAAGGACTTGGCAAAATGCTGAGAGGGGGCATTCCTCCTTGGAATAATCATGAGGGTCCAGAGGGAAACCATCTTCTGAGCAGAGCTAACCAGCTACTGGGATGCGGGGACCGGGAGGCTGGTGGGGCGTTTACTGAGCTGTGTGCCCTTTGACGTCACATCCTGTATAGAGGGCATGTGGAGCCTGGCCAGAACGCCTCTGGCCCGTTGGCCCACACCTGTTGCCCACAGATGGCCGATCCAAACACGGGCTGAGACAGCTCAGGAACCCCGTGTGGCCTCAGCACTTGGCTCTACCGTTAACTTGAACTTCAAGTTCATGCTTGTGGCTTTTGTCTTAATAGAGGCCTTACTGTTTTACTTATTACACAAGGACTACATGTGTTGAAAATTTGGAAAATATAAACACAGATACAATTTTAAAAAAGAAGCATCATCATGTATAATGCCAGGACTTGGAGATATACTCTCAACATTTTGGAACCCACGCTTTCAATGTCTCTGGGTCAGCCCACGCTTTTTTGTGACTTTGAGGACAGAGTACAAGTGACCCTTAAACAACGTGGGGTTAAAGGGGCATCAACATGCACCTACCTCCCCCACTATCAAAAACCTGTGTATAACTCTTGACTCCCTCAGAACTTAACTACTCATAGCCTACTGTTGACAGGAAGGAAGCCTACTGATAACATAAGACAGTTGGTTAACATATATTTTGTATGTTGTACGTATTATATACTGTATTCTTACAAGCAGGTAAGCTAGAGGAAAGAACAGGTTATTAAGAAAATCATAAGGAGGGCGCCTGGGTGGCTCAGTCGGTTAAGCGACTGCCTTCGGCTCGGGTCATGATCCCGGAGTCCCGGGATCGGGTCCCGCATCGGGCTCCCTGCTCGGCAGGGAGTCTGCTTCTCCCTCTGACCCTCCTCCCTCTCATGCTCTCTGTCTCTCATTCTGTCTCAAATAAATAAATAAAATCTTTAAAAAAAAAAAAAAGAAAAAGAAAATCATAAGGAAGAGAAAATACATTTACAGTACTGTACTTTATGGGAAAAAAATCTGCATATAAGGGGCCCTGTGCAGTTCAGGTCCATGTTGTTCAAGGGGCTCCTGTAGTAGAGGCTATTGGCTCTGTGAAGTCCATGTCTGCTGTGTGTTAATCTTGTGTGTCTTTGGGCCAGTGACTTTACCTCTCCATTGTATCCCTAAGATTGGCATGGTGTTTATACCTCCTTCATACTAAATGGGGTAATCCATTCAGAGTGTTTAAGCTGTGCCTCTGCAGTATGTTACTCTTGTTACATATTATTATTATCCTATAATAAAATCAGATCACACCGTACCTTCTGGTTAGGAACTTACTCTTTCCCCTAAACCACTGTGACTACTTTTCTGTAACGTCAGATGTTCTTCTTTGGTGTCGTGGTTATAAAGAAAAATGACCCTACTGTTTCTATAAAAACAATACATATTCATTATGAAGAATTTTATTTATTTATTACTTTATTTTATTTTTAAAGATTTTATTTATTTATTTATTGAGGACATGAGTGGGGGATGGGGCAGAGGGAGAGCATCTCAAGCTGACTCCACGCTGAGCACAGAGCCGGATGCAGGGCTCAGTCCCAGAACCCCGAGATCATGACCTGAGCCGAAATCAAGAGTCAGATGCTTAACTAACTAAGCCACCCAGGCACCCCCATTATGAAGAATTATTTATTTATTTTTTTAAAGAATTTATTTATTTATTTGACAGAGAGAGACACAGCGAGAGAGGGAACACCAGCAGGGGGAGTGGGAGAGGGAGAAGCAGGCTTCCCGCTGAGCAGGGAGCCCGATGCGGGGCTCGATCCCAGGACCCTGGGATCATGACCTGAGCCGAAGGCAGACGCTTAACAACTGAGCCACCCAGGCGCCCTATGAAGAATTTTAAAATGAAGAAAAGTTCAGATAAAAATATTTTAAGAAATTCCAAACTTACCATTCAGATATAACTGACTTTGGTGTTTGAGGGGTGATAATTAATTACCTTTTAATTAATTACTTTCCCCTCCCACCAATTAATAATCAGTTGTGTAGTAGACATGTTAACCAGCCACAGGGGTATAAAAATATCAGCTTGGAGTTTGTATGGAGAAATTTGGAGTTTGAGTGACAAAACTCGGTTTGTGGCTAGATTCAGACTCCTCACTACTTTGCTCCTGGTCAGAATGATAGGCTGGTTGTCTCTGCAGGGGTGCACCTGCTTAGGTAAGCTTACCTCCTGGAGGGGCAAAGAATGTGTGCATCCTGAGGACTGTTCACGGTAGAAGAGGAAGAGGAAGAGGTTGGGGCAATCTTCTAGGCTTCCTTTCTCAACTTTACTGATCTGATAAGTCTCGCTAGCCCCCTTTGGGGAGGACTGAGTGAGGAAGTCGGAAGAGCAGAAGGTCTATCTTTGTTTCTTCCAGAGAGTAGAGAGGTTCCTTCTCTAGTATGGATCAAGGTGTGGGTTCTGAGAAGAGTGGGAGGGTCCAGTTCTGAGAAGAGTAACTCCCCCTTAGAATTATCATGTTAACAGTATATCATTTCAGAGTTCTTTCTGTTCCTCCACGGAAAATTGGCTGGCTGGCTGGATGTACTTTGTAAAATCTATGTTCTTGAAATACCAAGTAGAAAATTTAACTTTGCTCAAATTTAACAGAAGACTTAGTTAAAACTCAGAAAAAGTCATTGCCTTCTACCCTTGAATGTTGCTGTAGAAGGGTCCAAGGCCAGCCTGCTTTGTCCTCTTGCAGTCAGATGCTCTACCACTGAGCTCTACCCCCTGCTTTGTCCTCTTGTATAGGTTATGTGCTCATAGGTAAGATGCCCGAGGAACTCTTTCTTGGTATCTGACATAGAATTTAACCATAATGTATATTACTGCCGCATGAGGTGTGTTATATTTTTGTGGCACTAGGTGTGATGGATGTTTCAGTCCACAGATTCAATTCTTTATTAGTCTCAAGAGAATTTTCTCTTACCTCGTCTCTTTGACCTTTCTTGGTTCTGTGTTGTGAGTTCTCTGCTATAAGGATGCCAGTTATCTGTATGTTGGATTGTCTTTGAACTCCATACTTGTTTGTTTTTCTTTGATTACTTGGATCCCTTGTTTTTATCTATATTCACTGTTTTTATTTTTGCTTTCCTGTAGTCAGTAAATTGATGTGAAGCCATCTTTCTTTAGTTTGCTGTAAATTTTACTTTATATATTACTTTTCTAATGTTTATTTGGCCCCCAATTAATTTCTTTAGGTTTACAATCTCATTTTTTGTTGTTGTTGTTGTTAATGTTGCCTTTGTGTTCTCACTCTATTGTACTCATATTCATATTAAGTTCTAGGGCTCAAAGATCTTTTGAGGGGAATTCTCTTACTGGGTTCTGTTTTCCTTTAGGCCGAATTCTTTGTCTTTGATACAGTGTTTCATTTGTCCTTTCCTCCAGGATTCTGTGTTTGTAGAGACCAGGCCTTTTTGTTTGCTTTTTTCCACTCTGTTCTTGCCTGAGTGTGTCTATGCAGATCTCTCTTGTTCCCAGTGTGGGTGATTTCTTGATCTGAAGCCTCTCTTTTTTATCCCTTTACTATGGAGTTGAAGTTTGATGGCTAGCTTTTTGTTTGTTTGATGGCCATGCTTTCTGCACCCTGACGGCCCACAGAACATCAGGGCTGGCTAAGCCATAGCAGGTGGTATGTAGGGTGCTGACTAGTTGCAGCTAGAAAATGTTGGCTTGGGGGTGCCTGGGTGGCTCAATCGTTAGGCGTCTGCCTTCGGCTCAGGTCATGATCCCAGGGTCCTGGGATTGAGCCCCACATCGGGCTCCCTGCCTGGTGGGAAGCCTGCTTCTCCCTCTCCTACTCCCCCTGCTTGTGTTCCCTCTCTCACTGTGTCTCTGTCAAATAAATAAATAAAATCTTAAAAATAAATAAATAATAAAAAAGAAAAGAAAATGTTGGCTTGGTGGCTTTTACTTCTGGGATGTTTTAAAGGTTATTTTAGGAGGGTCCAGTCTTCCTATGTGGGAGTACGCACTGCCCGCCCTTGGGTAGTATTCTCTGGCCTCATCAGATCAGCCCTGGATTTCATTGTGTACTCCTGGAGCCTTCACTTCCTCCCAGCAGAAGTAATCAGCACCGTGGTTCATGACCTCTTCATCCTTTTCTCCCTAGTATATGTTTTCACTATTCCCCGGTCAGAAAAGAGGAATATATTGATACCTACTCATGCTTTTCTCCAGATTCGAGGATATTAATGAAAACTCTATGGATTTTATTTATTTATTTATTTATTTTAAGATTTTATTTATTTATTTGAGAGAGAAAGTGAGAGAGAGAAAAAGCACAAGAGGGGGGAGAGGGAGAAGCAGACTCCCTGCTGAGCAGGTAGCCTGATGCGGGACTCTATCCCGGGACTCCAGGATCATGACCTGAGCCGAAGGCAGTCGCTTAACCAACTGAGCCACCCAGGCGCCCCTCTCTGGATTTTTATTTAGTCACTGGTTCATCATCCTGAGGGTGGTGGATACAGGGTTATGAGCCTTGCTATGCCATAGCATTCTGTTCTAGAATCTTCCTTTACTTTCCCTGGCAGGCAGTATTTGAATTTTAGGACACTGGATGTGCCCTTTTTTTTTTTTTTTTGGACGTGCTCTTTTTTTTTTTTTTGGACTGGTGATTTTTAAACATTTCTGCACTAAAAATTTTTTTGGTTAAGTTTTGAAAGAGTGAGATTTTGTGCAGAAGTTTGTACCATTTTAATTGAGAAGTACCTCCTATCACTTTATTTTTTAGATTTTATTTATTTATTTGACAGAGAGAGAGACAGCGAGAGAGGGAACACAAGCAGGGGGAGTGGGAGAGGGAGAAGCAGGCTTCCCGCTGAGCAGGGAGCCCGATGCGGGGCTCGATCCCAGCACCCTGGGATCATGACCTGAGCCAAAGGCAGATGGCTTACCGACGGAAGCACTCAGGCGCCCCCCTCCTATCAAATTAAGTGTTTGCATAACATTCTATTGTATTTCATTCCCGTATATCTGTGAATAGGTTGTTTACTGCTTTGTTTTGCCAATATAAATCCAGATTTCCTCATTACTTTTCTGTTTTGCTTTTTAGAATTGTAGTATAGGTTGGTGAGATTAAGGGGATGGTCACAACTGTGGAGAGGGGACTGTCATTTTCTGAGGGTCTTATGTGTGCCAGGGAGCCCATAAATAGTCTGATTCCATTCTCATAACAACCCTGTAAGGTAAACACCGTTATTTCTGTTTTCCAGATAAGGAGATGAGGGCTCAGAGAAGTTGAATACCTTGCCCAGAGTGACACCAGTAATGTTTGATCCTGGGTCTCTCAGCTTTGCCTTGCTCTGAAATCCCTTTCCTTTCCTCAGACCGTATCTCCATAAGAAGTCACAGCCCGGTGGAATGCTTAAGCATGATGGGTGTTTTCATATCATTTTAACATGTTACTACTTGTAAGAGAACACTGTTCTTTTTTTTATTTTTCTTTCTTTCTTTCTTCCTTCCTTCCTTCCTTTTTTTTTCAAACTGGTAGTGAATGTTGAACACGACTTCACTGGGGCAGAGAACTGTGTTATCTGTCTCTCCTTTCTCCGTGAGTACAAAATGGCATTTGCAGGAGCTGTGAGCTCTGAAAAGGAGGCTTTGTACATTCCATGCCCTGTCATAGGGCCCCTGCTCTGGGCGTGTTGTTACCTGAGTGCTCAGCCCTCGACTGCGTTTCTTGCTCTGAACAACCAAACACTCAAAAACAAGGGCCATTATGTAATAATCCGGCCCTAACAGCCCCCACAAAATTACAGACTGCTCCATGCCAGTGTGAACAGACACTCTAATTAATGTTTACTTCTTCACCAAACAGTCATTTTTCAAGACCTTCGTACAAAAGCACATGTCCCCTCTTCAAAAAGCATTCTGAAGGACTTACCAAGAATAACATTTTGATATTTACTGAAAGACTCCTGATTGGGATATCATTTATTTACTCTGGGTCTCTGTTTTATTGTCAAAAGGGAAAATAACAATGCCTCTCTTTTGTGTGTGGAATGTTCAGTGAGTTTCAAAGTGTTGTCGTGGGTTCTGTCATTTCAGCCATACGGCAACCCAGGGAGATCGGTGGGGTATTTTTTTTTTTTTTTAAAGATTTTATTTATTTATTTGACAGAGAGAGACACAGCGAGAGAGGGAACACAAGCAGGGGGAGTGGGAGAGGGAAAAGCAGGCTTCCCACCAAGCAGGGAGCCCGATGTGGGGCTCGATCCCAGGACCCTGGGATCATGACCTGAGCCGAAGGCAGACGCTTAACGACTGAGCCACCCAGGTGCCCCTCGGTGGGGTATTTTTGATCCACTTTTATGTTTAACTCTTTATTGTAAGTTTTCAAACAAGACAGAAAAATAGAAATTATAGTGCAGTGAATAGTCATGTACTTACCAGTTAGGATTGAGCAGTTGAACAATTTGTTGAACAATACATACACACACACAAATATATCCATATACTTTTTTTTAACCACCTTAAAGGAAACTATAGAAAGGAGGACATTTCACACCTAAATACTTCATTTATGCCTCTGCATAAGATACGATCATATCCTTATAAAACCACGACCCTATTACCACTCCTAACAAGGCAACTATTCCCTCATTTGAACTAATACCTGCTACATATTCAACTCTT